TATCATCATATCAGTAGTCATATCGTCATATCATATCAGTAGTCATATCGTCATATCAGTAGTCATACCATCATATCAGTAGTCATATCGTCATATCAGTAGTCATATCATCATATCAGTAGTCATATTGTCATATCATCATATCAGTAGTCATATCATCATATCATCATTTCAGTAGTCATATCGTCATACCATCATATCAGTAGTCATATCGTCATATCATATCAGTAGTCATATCGTCATTTCAGTAGTCATACCATCATATCAGTAGTCATATCGTCATATCAGTAGTCATATCATCATATCAGTAGTCATATCGTCATTTCAGTAGTCATATTGTCATATCATCATATCAGTAGTCATATCGTCATATCATATCAGTAGTCATATCGTCATTTCAGTAGTCATACCATCATATCAGTAGTCATATCGTCATATCAGTAGTCATATCATCATATCAGTAGTCATATCATCATATCAGTAGTCATATCGTCATTTCAGTAGTCATATCGTCATTTCAGTAGTCATATTGTCATATCAGTAGTCATATTGTCATATCAGTAGTCATATCGTCATTTCAGTAGTCATATCGTCATTTCAGTAGTCATATCGTCATATCATATCAGTAGTCATATCGTCATTTCAGTAGTTATACCATCATATCAGTAGTCATATCGTCATATCAGTAGTCATATCGTCATATCAGTAGTCATATCGTCATTTCAGTAGTCATATTGTCATATCATATCAGTAGTCATATCGTCATATCATCATATCAGTACTCATATCGTCATATCATCATATCAGTACTCATATCGTCATATCATCATATCAGTACTCATATCGTCATATCGTCATTTCAGTAGTCATATCGTCATTTCAGTAGTCATATCGTCATATCAGTAGTCATATCGTCATTTCAGTGGTCATATCGTCATATCATCATATCAGTAGTCATATCGTCATATCAGTAGTCATATCATCATTTCAGTAGTCATATCATCATATCAGTATTTCAGTAGTCATATCGTCATATCAGTAGTCATATCATCTGGCATCATGACACCAAAACATTTCTGTAAAATACAGTGTTTAGTCTGATTGAGCTCTACAGGCAGCAATTTCAGAGAATATTGATAAACAATAAAAATAACTGTGTATAAACAGTCTTTCATGGGAACCGGTAATCAGAACTACACGCTTAAAAAAGACGGTTCTTCAAGGGTTCTTTAGAAAAGCCAGTGGTTCTATTTAGAACCATGAGCTCTGTATAGAATCATTTGCATGCAAGTGGTTCTCTGCATGGTGAAATGGTTCAGACTGATGGAGAACGCGTTGTATATGGTTCTATACAGCAACAAAAAGGGTTCTTCTACTGATACAAGTGTGACATCACAACAATAGACGAACTGGTGTTATACACGACTGTCTATAGCACCTTCTCCATCAGTCTGAAGAACCATTTCACCATGCAAAGAACCATTTAAGCGTGAGATTGTTCTATACAGAACTCACAGTTCTAAACAGAACCAATGCCTTGACTAAAGAACCTTTAAAGAACCATCGTTTTAAGTGTTTTAATCTCGGTGCAGTCTATCAGGGTAACGGGGCGGGGCTTAAACTCTGGACACACCCACTCTGAAGTGACAGGGCTTTTGTCTTACGAGTTTATAAGACCGTAAGTGATTTAGGGTTTATTCTGTTGGATGGCAGTGAGAGGTGCTGAAAAGGTTCTACTGGAGAACTCTTATTTGTCCAACACAGCCAGTCTGTGTAGATGAGCGCTAGAGCTCTGAAGAACATTTCAACACATCAAATACAGGAAATCCAATCAAATCAATACATAAATTACGTGCATCTTTCACACCCAGCACTGCTGTTTTTTTCATTTGCCAACTTCTTGTTCGACTTGTTCAACTTCTTGTTTCCCGTTCCACCTTAAATGGTACACACCTGTTCAGCACTATTGGTTTTCCATTCCACAACTTCTTGTTCACATTTCTCCGTTCCACCTTAAATCAGTACCTTCATTGGTACACCCCTCCCCAACACTTTTTTCATTCGCCAAACCTCTTGTTGGAATTTTCCCGTTCCACCTTAAATGATACACACCTACCCAGCACTGTTTTTTCGTCTGAATTTTCCCATTCCACCTTAAATGATACACCCGACCCAGCACTATTTTTTCGTCTGAATTTTCCCGTTCCACCTTAAACGGTACACACCTACCCCGCACTATTCTTTAATTTGCCCACGTCTTGTTCAAAATTTCCCGTTCCACCTTAAATGATACACCCCTATCCAGCACTTGTTTTTTTTTATTCGCCAACTTCTCGTCCGATTTTTCCCGTTCCACCTTAAATGGTACACACCTACCCAGCACTGCCTTTTTCATTTGCCAACTTCGTTTGAATGTTCCCGTTCCACCTTAAATGGTACACCCCTACCCAGTACTGTCGCTTTTAATTCGACAACTTCTTGCCCGCATTTTTCCGTTCCACCTTAAATAACACTCAAATGGTACAACCCCACCAAGCACTGCTGTCTTCACCTTCGCTAACTTCTTGTTCGAATTCTTCCGTTCCATCTTAAATGGTACCTTAAATGGTACAGCCCTACGGGCGCCGGAACGCAAGTGCCGCACCACTTAAGGTGGAACGGAAAAATTGGAGCGAAAGGCGAAGTTCAGCTACAACAGCCGAAGAGCTGCGCGCGGAAAGGCCCTCAGCGACTCACCGATCACGATGCGCAGGTGCTTCAGGCGGGTCAGCACGTCCTTCTTAGGGTCCAACACCTTCTGCGTGGATTTCCGCACATCTCCGTGGGGTTTTTTGGAGAACATCCCGCAGAGAGGAGGAGAACCAGGAGAACCGCAGAGAGGGAGCGATAGAGAGAGAGGGAGAGAGAGAGAGATTAGGTCGATATGGGAGCGCAGTCAGCGCCCAGCCCGGCTGATTAAAGCTGAGTCAGGGCGAGGAGAGAGAGGAGAGGAGCGCTCTCCTGCAGGAGGTTTGGATGAAGGTCCGAGCGGAGCTGTTCCTCCTCTCTCTCTCTCCTCTGCTCAGAATAAAACCCCGAAAACATGGCGGGGCTACATGAAAAACAACTTAATCGAAACCAGAGCAATCGAGCACTCACACACCGCCCTCCTCTGAGAGGGAGTCCAACATCCCAAACATCAAAAAGGTTTTATCTTTACTTTTAATATGTACATGTGAAATGATCACTGTGATCAATGAGAGAAAAGGTCATCGTCATAGTAAAAATCAGAACTACAACAACAATCATAATAATAATCATAATAATAATAGGACTACTAATAATAATCAGTGGTGGATGAAGTACACAAACCATGTACTTCAGTTAAAGCAGAGACACCCAAAGTAAAATATTACTCCAGTAAAAGTAGAAGTTCCTCCCTTTAGACCTCCACTTGAGGAAAAGTACAAAAGTATTTTCCCTCAAATGTACTTAAGTATCGAAAGTAAAAGTACTAAAAGATTAATTATGACTTTAATGTCCTGTTATCATTTTTATAACAAGACTCGCTTCATTAACTCATTTTAGGTGAAAATACTCCAGTGTCTCTCTTGGTAAACCAGTCTTTTAATAGAGTCATTAATTAGTGACGCTGATGTCTATTAAAATTATCATAAACACAAAACACTGAAGGCAAACAGTTTCCATCAGGTAGAACTGAGTGGCTCTGAAATCACTTTTTACAAACAAGCAAAGTTTCAGTTTAAGATTTATTTGCAACTTAGTTACAAGTTTAAGATTAATAAAAACTTTAAACTCAGATTCACAAATGAGTTTCCTTTACTAAACTGCATCTGTAGGTCTCTGTTCATAAACATAAACTAGACAAAACTAATTTACTATAAAATGAAATGTGTTTGTATAAATTCAGAATAAAGACACGTCAGTCACAACTGCATATGAGTACATATTTCTATATTATGGTCTATTTACACAAAGTTAGGTTAGTTCATCATTTATGTTGAATAGACTCTCCCAAAATTTTACGCTGTTTTATTTTATTTCATTTTATTTCTCATCTTTGATCTAACTACTAATAATAAGTTGTATCATAAAATAACAATTTATTTCTGTAACAGTTTCCAAAGACCTGCTTGTTTCTAGATGTTTTTTATGCTTATTCAGAAGTGTTTATTGTTTTAGGAGCAGCAATGATTTATGTATGACAGTATTAATAATGATCCATAAGTCCTTCTCAATAACTGAGACTTTCACAGTTTCTAAGAGGCAAATATGACATAAAATGATACACATAAAATAAAAGTCTAAAGGAGGAAGCATGGGGGGGGGGCAGTGGGGGTGAACATTATCGAAAAATCGAAGTAATAAATAAAGCTGCTAAATTATAATCAGCCGAAAAATTCAGTGCCTTCATGTAAAAATGTAGAGCTGCATTATTTAAACAGAACATTGATGAATGTGTTTCTCTTTTAGAACTATATTAATGCAGAGCCAATTTGCCTGTAGTGTTATGTCTTATGGTTTTAAGCCTGTTTGAAAATACAGTGATAAAGCTGAACAATGATCTTTGCTTTTTGATGTTTATAAGCTTAACTTTTCATTTTATTTTTTCGAGTAAAACTGACTTTTCCCAGTTCACGTTAAAGGAGAAACCGTTTTTACTAGCATGGCTTCAATTTTAACACGTTTTTACAAGAAAGATCTCATTTTGTGGCGTGGAAATTCTAATTATTACAAGTTAAATTAATTTCTTACCGGTCAAAATTGAATATATAATCAATCTGCTCGAACATGAAACAATTAAAAATTGATCATTTATCTTTTCACTGGTTCTAACCGTGTTTAATGTCAGTGAACTGTGAATTAAAGGCTAAAACAGTTCTCCAAATGAATCACTGTTTAAATAGCCCTTCCTCGACAATCCATCATTCTTCGATTGATCGCTTGAGTCTAGTAAATATGACTGTAAACACGACGTCCGTTGCAGAAGAAACAGCTGGGAAGTGTAGTTTTCTCAGAACAGACATTGCGCAGGCGGAAGGGCGCAGGCAGAGGTTAAAAACTACAAATCCCAGAGGCACGTACGGAAACACACTGCGCGCCAGAGCGCCGCAGGCAGACGCTTGTAGAGCCTTTTAGCAGGGCGCCGAAGCCGAACCGAGCGGATAGGATAATTAATCAAAACTGAGATTTTCACTCTCATAACTCGGGATCGACGCGCGGGGCCGTGAAACGGGCATGACGGCCGCTCGGCGGTTTAACTGTGTTTCTCCGGCGGCAACGCGGCGAGTTTAGCTGCGAACAAAAAGAACGGAGCGCGGTTCTGCTCGCTTCACTGAGGAGGTCCGGTAAACGGGAACCCGCGGGGCTTCTGTGAGGCAGGGCCGGATAAACCGTCTCTGCGGGCGGGTCAGGGCGTAAAGATGCCGGTGCACACAAAGGAGAAAGAAGGAGAGCAACCATGAAGAGATGGACGTGGATTACCCGGAGCAGGACGGCAGCAGCTCCGACGAGGAGGACACGGAGAGCTCGTCCGTGTCCGAGGATGGAGAGAGTTCAGGTGGGGAAGGTTCCCAGGTCAAACTCCCCAAAACACAACGTTCACTGAGGGGACAGGCTGGTTATATTTAGTAAGACGTGGCCACAAATTAATATATTGAGGCCACAAATTACTATATTGAGGGCACAAAGTATACTGACACCACAAATATATTAAGGCCACAAGTTACTATATTAATGCTACAGTTTACTGTCTTGAGGCCACACGTTACTATATTGAGGGCACAAATTAATGTACTGACCCCACAAATATATTAAGGCCACAAGTTACTATATTGATGCCACTAATTACTATATTGAGGGCACAAATTCATATATTGATGCTGCAAATTACTATATTGAGGGCACAAATAAATATATTGAGGCCACAAGTTACTATATTGAGAGCACAAATTAATATACTGACACCACAAATATATTAAGGCCACAAGTTACTATATTGATGCTGCAAATTACTATATTGAGGGCACAAGTTACTATATTGATCCTACAGATCACTGTATTAAGGCCACACGTTACTATATTGATGCTGCAAATTACTATATTGAGGGCACAAATTAATATATTGAGGCCACAAGTTACTATATTGATGCTACAGATTACTGTATTGAGGCCACACATTACTATAATGAGGCCTCAAATTAATAGATTGAGGCCACAAGTTGCTATATTGATGCCGCAATTTACGATATTGTCAAAATAAGAGTTTGATATGATATGTAAACCGTGTTCACTCTTGAGAGAATGTAGGATATGGGCCCTTTAAACAGTCGTCCAGGGATTTCTCAGTAAACTGGATCATTTAAAACGAGAAATGTCCAGTAATTATCATTCACACTTCTTCGATTAGACTGGCTCGATTCAAGCTTCATTTATCTGACCAATTAAGAAATCTTGTAACTAAATCGTCTAATTGAGGCGACTGAATGTGTAGTTTGATCTCGAAGACGTTCCGCTCGTCTGAGGGTCTTTATCTGTCGTCTTACATTGCTTTCCGTGGTTATGTGTCCGTTCAGAGATGGACGATGAAGACTGCGAGAGGAGGAGGATGGAGTGCCTGGATGAGATGACTAACCTGGAGAAACAGTTCACAGATCTGAAAGATCAGTGAGTATTTATGTATTTTAACACAACCTGATTTACCTTCTGTATATCTGCAGTGATTAGGAGTCAGTCTGAGTGGTGAACTCCAGCAGCACTGCTGTGTCTGATCCACTCGTACCAGCGCAACACACACTAACACACCACCACCATGTCAGTGTTACTGCAGTCTGTGAGGGTCCATGGGGGTCCTGACCACTGAAGAACAGGGTAAAAGGGGGCTAACAAAGTATCAGAGAAACAGATGGACTACAGTCTGTAACTGTAGAACTACAAAGTGCACCTATATAGTAAGTGGAGCTGATAAAATGGACAATGAGCGCAGAAACGAGGAGGTGGTCAGAATGTTGTGCCTGATCAGGTGTATATTGCCCTAAAGCAGTTTAGCCCCGCCCATTCACACTGAAGCTATAAGGAGTGTTTCAGCTCTGAATGCTTGTTGAGTGAGGCAGGATACAGGGCAGCCAGTCAGGACAGAGCTCATTTACATATTTCAGTTTTAGAGGTACAGTAACAAAAACAGCCTGTTTAAATAGAGGTTAGAAAATAGTCATGTAGATTGATTTATGACTAAGTTTGGTGCATAAAAGTACATATGTGTAATCAGTGGAGATCAAAAAAATAAAATAGAAAACAAATGTAGAATATCAGCCCTTTAACTCATCTTATGTTTATGTGTGTTTTTACAAGTATGTTTTTAATGAATTCTTTCTAAAGGCTGCTTTATTTCCCTTTCATGTAAAGTCTTTTCTGAAAACTATTTCTTTTTTTTTTTAAATAATCACAAAAATGCTTGATTACTCATATAATCCATAGTGAGCCCTAGGCCCAGTCCCATTTCACCCCTCACCCCTACCACTCAGCCCTTAGCCCTCTGTTTTGTAGGTTCACGTTCAGGGGTAGGGTTACCCGATTCTTTTTGAGATAGAGGGGGAGGGTGAAGTGTTGGGGCTACCTGACCCTCCAAACGGAGGTTTTTCAGAGACTCCAAACAGAGAGTTATGAGAAAAAAAGAAAAACCAGCGAGACGGCTGAACAAGAGACCAAAGAAACTCACAAATATGAGAATTTTCTCTGTTAAAAAAATATAATAACCACTGTATTTTCTTAGTTTAATGCAGTTTCAGTGTATTTTGGTCTTTTTCTTCATAGCAAGCATAAAAAATCACTAATAGCATGCTAATGTCGCGGTAGCTAGCTAAATTTCCCGTTCCACCTTAAATAGTCCAGCAGTTCTGACGCCTCAGGCACCAGAATGTAACTGCTGCACCATTTAAGGTGGAACGGGAAAATTTGAACAAGAATCTGGTGAATATCTGACTTCAGCTTCATATCACTGAAGAATTAGGGGTGGGTGATAATAAATAATTGCCCCCCTCTTTGAAGATCATATGATCCCTAAATGTAACTAAAGCCCAGCAGTGAGGAGCTGAACTTTACCCTCCTCTGCTGTCACTGCAGACTGGCAGGGTCGCCTACAGAGCAGCGCTGGTAGCTGTTAATGAAGTGATGCTCTTTTTATTTGAGGGTCCCATTTCAGAGGGAAGATTTCAACCACTACCCTGTAACTCAGTTCCAAGGGGCAACACTCGAAAACAAGGGGTAGTGGTAAAAAGAGGAAATGGGACTGGGCCCTAATTTCAGCTCTTATTGTTTGCACAGTGACCTGCTGGTAGTTGTTCGACTCAATAATGAGCTCTGCTGTGTTTTCCAGGCTGTATAAGGAGCGATTAAGCCAAGTTGATGCCAAACTTCAAGAAGTGATGTCGGGAAAAGCTCCTGAGTATTTGGAACCTCTTGCAAACCTTCAGGAGAACATGCAGATCAGAACTAAAGTCGCTGGTGAGTCTGAACTCCTCAAACGAGCCAGAGCGTCTTTATTTATTCATGTAGTCGTCAGTAGGCAGGTTCGGTGGGTCCCATTAGAGGTAAAACCAAATTGCGATTCAGTTTGCTGGACAGAGGGGTCAAATTCCAGTCATATAGTGGTTGGTTCCCCAAAAACACAAGATATCATGTGATGCAACAGGCCAGTGTGAACATCCACCAGCCTAAAATAAGAGAGATGGAGATGTGGCAAAAATATTATTATGTCAGATATGCATCACAATATTTACTTTTTCTGAGATTAAATAAGTTGGAACAGACAAAACAGAACCTGCAGTGCCATATATACAAACACTATAATAACAATAATAACAATAACAATAATAATAATAATACTATATGGCTGATTAATTTGAAGAAAATGTCTCATTTTTCCATCTAATTGCAATTTAAGTGCAATTATTTTCTGTAAATTAGGCTTGAGGCCTTTTTCCCCTCACAGAAACCACCACATCCATTTTTTAGGCTTGAATGCTGAGCGTATTGTGCCACATTGCCGGGTCATGAGTTCTGTTATTAGGTTAAATGTATCCACTTACAACTTAAGACGGTGTTAAATCATGTAGGATATAATTAAAATTGCAGCTCTTGTGATTTGAACATTGTGCTCAAATTGCAATTTCAATGCAAAAACAATTAATCTTTCAGCCCAAACTGACGACTAAAATGATTTTATTCAGTGTTTTATAAACGGCACTGCGCCAAGTCTAATTAAACATGACTAATTAAGCTCACTTTGTAAAGAAACAGTCAGTCAGTGTTCTTTAAGTATTGACGATATCCACAATATGCTCAGAAAAGCATATCGCTGCTGTTGGAAGAAAACCTCGTATCTCCATTTTTTGTAATTTTTCAGTTTTTGACATGTTTCAAATGCCTGTTGTTCTTTAAAAAAGTCTGGTTCCATTGACTCACATTAAAATTAAAGTGTGTTTTTTTTTCCTTCTCCTGTAAAGTTACCATTTTGGAGATACAAGGTTTTCTTCCAACAGCCACATGCTGACAATTTACCACGATAACGATAAAATATTATCATATTGCCCCCTACTGACCAAAACATAGCTGTTGGCATACGGCCTGGCTTCATTAGCCGTCTGCTGTTGCCTCAAAGTCAGAGTGCAGTTTGAGATGCGCTCGAGCTTTAACGTTTTCAAACCGGCTCTGTTCGCTTGTTTGTAAATCCCTAAAATTGTTCTCCTTGCCTTACGGTGGTATTGGTTTCTGAACTTGTCACTACAACCCCATTTCCGAAAAAGTTGGGGCGCTGTGCAGAATGTAAATAAAAATAGGATGCAATGATATGCAAATCATGTAAACCACATTTTTAAAGGAAAATAGTACAAAGACAACAGATCAAATGTTGAAACTGAGAAATTTTATTGTTTTTTTGAAAAACATTTGCCCATTTTGAATTTGATGCCAACAACACATCCCAAAAAAGTTGGGACGGGGGCCTGTTTACCGCTGTGAAAGACTCCGCCTCTCTGAGATGCTCTTTTATACCCAATCATGTTACTGACCTGTTGTCAATCAACCACAAGGTGTTTTTTTTTTTTTTGTTTTTTGTTTTTTTTAGCACCCATCCCAACTTTTTTGGAACATGTTGTTGGCATCAAATTCAAAATGGGCACATATTTTTCAATAAACAATAAAATTTCACAGTTTCAACATTTGATATGTTGTCTTTGTAGTATTTTCAATAAAATATAGGGTTTAAATGATTTGCACATTTACACTTTGCATTATTTATTTATTTTTTTTACATTTTGCAGCGTCCCAAGTTTTTTTGGAAACAGGGTTGTATGGTGCATATAAATAAAAAAATATATACATATATGTATATATATATATGTGTGTGTGTGTGTGTGTGTGTGTGTGTGTGTGTGTGTGTGCGCGCACCACATTGGGACAATAAGGCCTGATTCAGATGTTTTTAACTTTAAAGTGTTTTTTTTACTGCTCAGGTATCTACAGGGAGCTTTGCTTGGAGTCTGTGAAGCATAAGTACGACTGTGAAACTCAGGCCGCTTTCCAGCACTGGGAGGTGAGCTTAAGGAAACTGTTTTAGACTCATATTAAGACGTTTCACCATGTTCAGGCATTTACACTGAAACTGTGCTCGTTACATCTTTTCCAGAGTGAAAAGCTGCTGCTGTTTGATACGGTTCAGACCGAACTGGAGGAGAAGATCAGACGTCTGGAGGAAGACCGGCACAGTATAGACATTACCTCAGGTACCAATACAAACACTACCGTATATTATTATGTTGTAAAATAGACTGTATACTAATATGCAAAAGTTCAGGCTTCCCTGGTCAAATTTTCTAAGTAAAACTACAGAGAAGAAATTTAAATATGACATTTTTCTGCGAGTTCTAGAGCGTAGAAACTGCGCTTTAAAGTAGCGGGAAAAAAATAAAACATAAAATATAAGAAGTGCTGTTTCTTTTGCACAGGCCTCATTTTATGTTAGTTATTTTTTCAAATATGTTAAATTCAGCTAAATTAAAATTTTAAAATATTAAAATGTGCAGAAGTGAGTCTCTGTAGAAGATGTGTAAACTTATTTAGCCTCAGAAAATTAACAAAAACATTGAATTTGACCAGTGATGCACTTTCACATACACTTGTATAGTATGTACATATTATTTTTGTAGTATACAACATTGAAGTGTATGCAGTTTCAAATATTCTGTGTTTCCTCATGTAATCTGTTTTTTTTTCCTCTACAGAATTGTGGAATGATGAACTACAGTCAAGAAAAAACAAGAAGAAAGATCCATTCAGTCCAGACAAAAAGAAGAAGCCCGTCGTCGTGTCTGATATCCTTCAAACTGTCCATCAAACAGAACTGTTTCATGTGTTCTTCAGGCTGAAGTGTGTAAGATTTAGTGGCCTCTAGTGGTGAGGTTACAGACTGCACCCAGCTGAATCCCCCTCCCTCACCACTCCCTTTCCAAGCGTGTAGGAGAACTTATGGTGGCCGTCAGGTTTTCTGCCATCGTCTGTCCTGATTTCATTTTACTTCTTCATGTTTTCTCTTCTTTGATGTCGAGGATTCACCCTCCCTCGCTTTTCTTGTGCTAGTTAATAAGTTTGATCCTCCATTTGTCAAAATTTGGGCTCTCAAACTTCTCGCAACACAGAATGGTCAGCAGCTCCGGCAGCGTCCACTGATTCTTCTTCTTTCTACATCTTCCAACCTAAGCTACAGTGCTAGGACTGTGTATTGGCAAGAACCTGGTGATACAATACGCATCACGATACAGGAGTCTTGATTTTCTATTTGATATACACCGGTCAGCCATAACATTATGACCACCTCCTTGTTTCTACGCTCATTGTCCATTTTATCAGCTCCACTTACTATATAGGTGCACTTTGTAGTTCTACAGTTACAGACTGTAGTCCATCTGTTTCTCTGATACTTTGTTAGCCCCCTTTTACCCTGTTCTTCAGTGGTCAGGACCCCCATGGACCCTCACAGAGCAGGTACTATTTGGGTGGTGGATCATTCTCAGCACTGCAGTAACACTGACGTGGTGGTGGTGTGTTAGTGTGTGTTGTGCTGGTGCGAGTGGATCAGACACAGCAGTGCTGCTGGTGTTTTTAAACACTGTGTCCACTCACTGTCCACTCTATTAGACACTCCTACCTTGTCAGTCCACCTTGTATATGTAAAGTCAGAGATGACGGCTACGAGGATGGCAGAGACGGCAGTGCTAAGAATGATCCATCGCCCAAATAGTACCTGCTCTGTGAGGGTCCATGGGGGTCCTGACCACTGAAGAACAGGGTAAAAGGGGGCTAACAAAGTATCAGAGAAACAGATGGACTACAGTCTGTAACTGTAGAACTACAAAGTGCTCCTATATAGTAAGTGGAGCTGATAAAATGGACAATGAGTGTAGAAACAAGGAGGTGGTCAGAATGTTATGCCTGATCGGTGTATATTGCGATACTGTAAGACTGTTTTTGAGAATCGATACAGAATCACAAAACATAATATTGCAATATTCAAGTGCATCAGTACTTTTTATACAGCGCCACCAAATTCAAGCTGCCACTTCAGTGTAAAAACACGAAAGGCGCCCTCTAGAGCCAGAGTTTGGTAATTGATATTTACTCAAATGATAAATAGTCTTTGCATGTAAACTCTAAATTTAAAATCGATACGGTATCACAAAACATAATATTGCGATATTAAAGTGTGTCAATATTTTTTACACCCCTATACAGCACCACCAAAGTCAAGCAGCTGCTTTAGTGTAAAAGTGTGACTGCGCCCTCTAGTGGCAGTGTTTGGTTTGTCGGTTCTGGGCTGCTGTAGGAACATGGCAGCCCCTGTTGGAAGAGGAGCCGCTAGCTATGTAGATATGAAGGGCTCATTCTAAGCTAATGAAACCATTCATAGTTACAGGTGATTATACACCAATGAGTCCCCAAAATCTCACACACTGCACCTTTAAGCCTGGATCTCTTTATATTTCTTAACACCTAAACGTCCATATATAGTCTACATGCTGCAGGACTTGGATATTCTGGAGGACTGGACAGCCATCAGAAAGGTCAGTAAACGCTCACAGCGTTCGTATTGTTAATATTTCACCTTCCCTCAGATTTGTGATGGTTTCGTATTGATTGTTTTGTAGGCCATGGCCACCTTAGGACCTCACAGAGTCAAAACCGACGGTAAGATCACAGTTCTGTCCAAGACAAAACATCTGGGGCCAAATCTGTCCTCCTGATCTCAGTAATAACGTTTTAATGCGTCTGTGTGGTTTTTTATTTAACTAAAAAAGTACGTTTGTGGCCTGATTGTTATTATTTAGGAGACAATTCACTTCATGAAAACTGATTTCACCCATTTAGATTCAGTACGATTTGATTTTGGTATGATTTATAGACCATAAAAACAAAGTACTTTAAGCTATATTAACAATAATTCAAATCATGTTTGCCATTATACATATACATGTGGGTGGGGTATAATATATAAACACATTCTGGCTACTTGTCTGGTGCATAAATTAAAATATTTTTAAATATATATAAATATATATATATATATATATATATATATATATATATGTATATATATATATATCTCGTTGCTGTCGGACCAAAACCTCATATCTCCAGGAAGGAAAAAACATACTTTAGTTTTAATGTAAGTCAGTGGAACCAGACTTGTTTTTCCAAGTCATTTTGGGCCGTTTCTTTTGATCCATTTAGTGTGAAAATTACACACAGAATAAAGGTATTTTAAAGGTATTGTAAAATTATGTCAAAAACTAAAAAATGACAAAAGACAAAAATAGAGATACAAGGTTTTGTTCCGACAGAAGCTGTATATATTTCTTTGTATTTATATATTTTTATCATTAGTATCATTTATTTATTGTTATTAATATTATTATTTTAAATGATTTTTTTTTTAATTTATGCACCGTAGACGTTTTTCCAAAATGATGATGATGATTTCCTTCTTCTTTAAAGTTCTTAACTTTTATTGGACCTTAATAAGATTCATTTGGTTATTAGTGAAGTGGTGAAACAGGTGTGTTGGTCCATTTTAAAACCATGTCAAGGGCAGAGAGAGTTCGCAGAAAACATTTAGAAAATGACTAAAAATAGATGAAAGGTTTTATGGTGATGGCAGGTTATATTAAATATTATTATTGATATAATTTAGTAAAATAATGCTTATATACATTATAATTGTTGATATAATTAAATATATAACAGTAATTTACAATATACGGTAATCTTTTTTTCTTGTATTTTTATATTCGACAATAACCTGAGAATTTCAGTTCATACTTTGAGTATTATTATAATCGATTCTAAATCACTGCAGTTAAATCAGATCCTCCAGATCATATATATTCACCCCCCGACTCAGCAGTAAAACCTCAGACCTTCTGTTGCAGCTCCTTCTTCCAAGAGTGAGAAACACCAGCACAGCGCCCGCTCGGAGGACGGGCGGCTGTTCTACGACGGTGAATGGTACAGCCGCGGGCAAAACATCTGCATAGACAAGAAGGACGAGTTTCCCACAAGGTATTTATACTTGAAACTAATTAATAGCCTCTTAATATAGTAAATAATAATAATAATAATAATACTAATAATATCTAGAAGGGGAAGTTTGTGAACGGGATTGTTTTTAATTTATCTGGGTTTATGTATTACTGAGTATTATTGAGGGTTGAAGGTAGTGTGTTGTTTATGCAGTTGTTTTTGGGTTATTTAAAATTAAAGGGGTTATTTTGGTTGTTTGGTTATTTAAACAGTGGTTGCTGTGGTCTTCCAGGTGGTTGCAAGGATGCTGCTATACCCTTCCAAACCTGGAATACTATATAATAATAATATACTTATTAATTAAACCTGGAGAGACCTGTAATATAGTTTAAATAAGATACTGTGGGTCAAAATTGTAGTTCTACAGTTACAGACTGTAGTCCATCTGTTTCTCTGATACTTTGTTAGCCCCCTTTTACCCTGTTCTTCAGTGGTCAGGACCCCCATGGACCCTCACAGAGCAGGTACTATTTGGGTGGTGGATCATTCTCAGCACTGCATTAACACTGACGTGGTGGTGTGTTAGTCTGTGTTGTGCTGGTCTGAGTGGATCAGACACAGCAGTGCTGCTGGAGTTTTTAAACACAGTGTCCACTCACTGTCCACTCTATTAGACACTCCTACCTTGTCAGTCCACCTTGTAGATGTAAAGTCAGAGACGATAGCTCATCGGCTGCTGCACAGTTTGTGTTGGTCATCCTCTAGTCCTTCATCAGTGGTCACAGGACGCTGTTTGCTGGATATTTTTGGTTGGTGGACTATTCTCAGTCCAGCAGTGACACTGAGGTGTTTAAAAACTCCAGCAGCACTGCTGTGTCTGATCCACTCAGACCAGCACAACACACACTAACACACCACCACCACGTCAGTGTTACTGCAGTGCTGAGAATGACCCACCACCCAAATAGTACCTGCTCTGTGAGGGTCCATGGGGGTCGGTGTATAACCAGTCAGTCAGTAATCTTAATTAATTTGTGCCCAGACCGCCCACTACATATACAGTGTTCAAATAAGAGTCTGTTTTACTTTATTTTTGATCTAATCTGATACACATAGTGATAATTCACTACATTAGGTTTAAGGTGAATGACCATGTTTGATAGTTGTCTAATATTAGTTAATAATGTCACATTTCGCTGATGATTTTGTTCATCTGTCTCTCTTCAGTGCCATAATAACTACCATCAACCATGATGAGGTCTGGTTCAAGCGTGTGGACGGCAGCAAGTCAAAACTGTACATCTCTCAGCTCCAGAAAGGAAAATACACCATCAAACACGCCTGAATTCGCCTCACCTGTGACTTCATTATTGTTAAAGGACAAAGGGAAGCATTTAACAGTGCCATTCTATTCACAGTGACCCAGTTTTAAACTGTCAAAATTGTTTGAGGGGAACTGTCTGTCTGTCTGTCTCTGTCTGTCTGTCTGTCTGGGAGGGAAAACAGAAGCAAGTTCTGTTCCTTTTAAGAAATTTGGTTATTGTTGGCTTAAACGAGGTTAATTATGGAGGATATTATTTGAGATGACTGTTTTCTCTGAGGTATTATCGTGTTTTTGTACTCATTTGTGCTCCTGTTAAATGCTCTCATATTTTTCTACATTCCTGCCTCATGATTATTGTTACATTTTGTAAATATACTCCTCTCCTCCACCTCCTGCTGGATCGCTGTTACTGTTTTTGTTGATATTAAAGCGACAGTTTGGCGAAAAAACCACTCGATTGGCTGAAACGCCTGCTTATTAATTTTAGCGCTGGAGCTACGAGGCTATTGTGCTAGCTGTATGGCTAAATCATCACAGTCGCCTCAGACTGTGGAGCTGTTCAGTGTCTCTAATAGACCTGATTATGTGGTTCCTGACTGTGTGACTCACTGTGATCTATAAACACTGACTAGAATATCTAAATGCTACAGAGCCACTAAGGGGCCGTGATAAAAAAAGAGAAAAAGTTAATGAAATTGCATTCCCTCGCAAATCTTTTGCGTTCTCTCGCAAAAAAATGAGTTCCCTCGCAAATGTTCTGCATTATGATGCAAACGGTTTGCATTCGCTTGCAAAAGCTGTGCTTTGCTCAAGCTCAGAGACGGAGCGGCTCAGTGAATTTTACGTTGAGCCTTGGATTGAAGTATAAAGACACAGTGTCGATTCTCAAAATCAAACATGATTCTGCTGTTAGTGACTCAAACTGAGGCTGAGGCTGAGGGGCCTCGTACAGTGAAAGCTACATTTACAGAGACTGCAGAGAACAACAGCTGAATAAACTCAGCTCAGACTGGCCAAACTGGGAAAACAGCTTTTAAGGTCAGCTATGCTAAAACAGAGCTGTAATGTAGGCAGAGTCGTTGGGCACCTCTGGTCCTACGTTTGCTTGATGTCTGACCAGCATATATTTTGCGAGGGAACGCGGTCATTAACATTTTCACGGCCCTTTGAGCGCTCAGTAAATTCAGAATTTAGACCGCTAGCTACTGTTTTTTTACGACGGCGTTCTAAAGGCACTGTTAATAAAAATAGTAGACTTTGAGATTAAAGTCGTAATATTTGGAGGATAAAGTGGTCTAACTGTAGGGGGGGCTGCCATAACGCGTTGGGGTCTCGGTTGCTGTACTGTAGGGGGGGCTGCCATAACGCGTTGGGGTCTCGGTTGCTGTACTGTAGGTGGGCTGCCATAACGCGTTGGGGTCTCGGTTGCTGTACTGTAGGTGGGCTGCCATAACGCGTTGGGGTCTCGGTTGCTGTACTGTAGGGGGGCTGCCATAACGCGTTGGGGTCTCGGTTGCTGTACTGTAGGGGGGCTGCCATAACGCGCTGCCTTCCCTTCGCAAAGCCTTTGGCCACAATATTGCAACTTTTCCCTGCTATTAATGCTGCTTTAGTGTCGTAATTCTACAACCTTTTTATCGAAATAGTCTGACTTTATACTCAAAATATTGTTTTTTTTTCTCTAAATGTTACGACTTTTTTCTCGTAATATTACAACTTTTTCTTTAAATATTACGACTTTTTTATCGAAATATTACGACTATATTCTCGAAGTCTACTATTTTTATTTTTATTAACAGTGGCCCTAAAACGCTGTCATAGTTTTTAGCTATGCTAAGCTAGGCTTAGAGAAAGCTGTGCGAATGGGACTTTTTTGCCAAACTATCGCTTTAATTACACATCATGCAAACTTGGGTTAAATCAGTGATCAGTCAAAAACACGAGCCTTAGCATTAACTATGAATTTACTAAGAATTAGTGTCAGAACAAAACCTCGTCTCTGTTTTTATTGTTTTTTAATTTCTTTACACGATGCAGAAACGCTGCTGTTTACACGGTGTCGGTTTCATGACGAATGGACCAACAGAAACGGTCCGAAAGAACCTCTAATTAGTGTTTTTTCCTGCTGCTGTAAAGATACGAGGTTCTGTTCTGACCGCGCTGAGACGCTAATTTGAGTTTAAAGGCGTTTTCAGTTGACAGTATAAAAACCAGGTTGCCATTCCCAGCAGTTTTACTCCATCTGCAGTATAATAACCACAGAAGGGGAAACCCACCCATTTTTCAAAATCCCCCCATAGCTCAGTGTGTGAGATGTAATCAGAGTGATTCAGAGTGGTTTAGTGTGAAATGGTTCAGATGTCTTTACAGTGGTGGTGATAGGAACCAGGGGTCGCCATGACTACAACACAAATATAGACATTTTATTTACTATCCAGAACCACCATTGAACCTACACGAGTCTTCTGAGTTTATATGGAATGTTAATGATGGAAAATAGTGGAAAATCTGAAATAATAAGTTTTCTTTGGGGACTATTTTGCCTCACAGCGCCCTGCATGTATCCCTCCACCATGAATGGAGTTTAAGTTCTCTAAACTATCATAAAACAGTGTCTCAGTCATCAGGCAGTGAATTCATAACCATTTCATGTAGGAACTTTCTGTGAGGGAGCTTTTAGAGGTGGACGTCTGGTTCCTATCACCACCACTGTGAACAGTTCTGACTCTAGAACGGAGTGTTTCACACCAAACCACCCTGATTGACTCTGTTTACACTATTTATGTGGAAATGTTGACAAAATGTTGGACTTTTCCTTTAAAGTGTGCGTGGCTGGTTTGCACTCACTCTGAATGGATCAACAGCGCCCCCTTTAGCTCCACTGTAATTTTAAATTTTTATTTGACCTAAATTTCATTAATCACCTCATCATACAGTATGTTTTTTACCTTTCATTAAATGCTGATGTTTTATATTCATCAGTGTACTGTTTTCTTTTCTACTGCTGACCAAATAAAGGGAATGGTGGGGATCATGTGTGTTGATCACGTGACTAAAATAAAAGATAATATCTGAAGTAAACGACTGTGATATATTGATATTGCAATGATTTACTCTTTTTATCTGATTTAATAGACAGCTGGTTGTTGCTTCAGGTGGGGTGCCTAATATATTGCTTAACTGTTTTCATGATATTGCAATATGCAAATGAGCCTCTAACCAGTCAAACCAATCACAGTTACAAATGAGTTATTGTGGGCGTTTTAATCATTTGGGTCAAAATGACGTAATCAGATCTTTAATCTTGTTACATCAAAGTGTTTAATATAATATATATTAACATATTCACAAAATTAATTAATTAATTAAAGGAACAGAAATAACAGATACAGCTGTGTGCAAAACTTTGTGCCCCCCAGTTAAATTCCATGTTGTTGAATTTCTGAGTGTGAGTAAGTTACACATCCACAGAGACACTTTTAATGCACAATTACTGTTTATTTACTGAGTTTAATATATTGGAAATAAAGTGTGGCCTGTGCAAAAGTTATGGTACCCCCCCCCAACATGTAAATAAACAGAAATGTGCACTAATATTTGAGGAAAAAAGCCATATTTAAGCGAGTTCTCTGTAAAAGCATGTCATTTGACCAGGGCGGTCAAACCTTTGCATACGTCTGTATCTGACAGGACTAGTAAGAAGGGCAGCTTTGTGAGGGTGTAATGGTGTCAATACAACATCAAAATGAAAGAAAAGAGAATGTAAAAGAAAAACTGTATGGCCAATTTGCCCCTCGCTACCATCTTTTGTGGAAATCATTGTCAGTGAGTGTGTTTACATATATTTAATAATCCGATAACTGCAGAAAATCAGATTTTGTCAGTAATCCGATCAACGCGTTTATATGCACTTGAGTAATCAGATAATGGGGAAACAAGGTCTACATGAGTCAGATAGTAATCAGATTTCTGCTTTACAATCAGCCAATAAACTCACAGAAGACGACGAGACGTAAACGTAACGTACAACTCAAACTTCATACCGCGGCTTTTTTTAAAACATCGCGCCACTTTAGCTGAAAATATGAACAAACATCATCTAGAAGATAAAGAATATTTAAATCCTTCATTTCGTCAAGTATGTATTTGGTTGCTGGCTTATTTTTGGTACCAGCATCTGTTTTCACACATGCTCAGACTGAGAAATCTGAAAGAAATCAGAGTAAGAGTTTACAGTACTGAGAAATCTGATTACTAAAATCCAGCCCCTTTATCAGATTTCTAGACCTTAGTCCGATCTAAGAAATCAGAGTGTGCTGTTTACATGACCATTTTAATTATCAGATAACTGCAGAAATCTGATTATGATCGGATTATCGAGCGCATGTAAATGGGGCTTCGACACTAAATGATGGTTCTTCAAGGGTTCTTTAATAAAGGCATATAACGAAATATATAATGAAATGGTTCTGTACTGAACTCATGGGTCTAAACAGGACCACCACCCTTACTAAAGAACCCTTGAAGAACCATATGACAGCTTTTTGTTGTAGACATTCTTGGTGGTTTTGGGGGTTTGTTTGTTAGACGGCTGGAGCTGAAAAAGTTCTACTGGAGAACTTTTATTTATCTGAGCCAAAACAAACGTATATGTGAAATACATTTATCATCACACCCTTACGGACTAGCACGGACAACTCTGGAACCAAGCTTCAGCGGACACTGTTAGACAACTCTGCTTACAAACACAGACATGATGATTCTTAATGATACATAATGATACTTCACATGCTGGTTTCCATAGATTTAAAGGGGAACTCCAGCAGATTTAAAAAAATTCTACATAATTAAGTGGTTAAGATGTAAACAGAGTCATTCAGAGTGGTTTGGTGTGAAACGCTCCGTTCATAGATAAACTTACCGAGTCAGAACTGTTCACAGTGGTGGTGATAGGAACCAGACGTCCACCTCTAAAAGCTCCCTCACAGAAAGTTCCTACATGAAATGGTTATGAATTCACTGCCTGATGCAGTTTTGAGAATCTTTGTAGAGGGGTTATTAGTAAGAGATGTTATTAGGCAAAATGGTACTCAATAAAAGTAAGTTCATGACTATTTTCCCATCATCAACATTCCATATAAACTCAGAAGACTCGTGTAGGTTCACTGGTGGTTCTGGATAGTAAATAAAATGCCTATATTTGTGTTGTAGTCATGGCGACCCCTGGTTCCTATCACCACCACTGTAAAGACATCTGAACCATTTCACACCAAACCTCTCTGAATCACTCTGTGTACATCTCACACACTGAGTTATGCAGAAATTTTGAAAAATGGGTGGAATTCCCCTTTATAGGCTACAATTAACAATGCTAAAATCAAGCTAATACATAAGAGCCACAATGCAGCCTTCATTTCTGACATCAGCTTCTGCTTAACTGGCACCAAAACTGCATAGAATTAATTCACATACTCAACTAACACATTGCAACAAACCCTTAAAGTTCTGCACTTCCCAAAGTCTGGAAAAGCGCCCTGCACGCGCATCACCTCTCCGAGTCTAACATGACACGTTTACGCCATTCAAGTACAGACACACTGTTACAGTATTACAAAAATAAATATTCATGTTAAAACTCATTTACATTCATCTGAGATAGTAAAACAAAGTCTCCCGTCTGAAAAAGAAAAAGAAAAGTTCATATATAAATGAGAAAAATAAAGAAGAAACAACAATAAAAGTGGTGAAGGGATCTAAAAAGGGGCTGCAGCACTGCAAGTTACTGATTTTAACATAAACTTTATCTGCTGTATCTCTATCATATGGTCCACCATCACAGATCAATTTAAACACGTTTCCCTGAACTTAGAAACGAATAGAAAACCAAATGAATCAAAACTCACTTTCAGTGGAAGTTGATGAGCTGAAACTCAGAACAAGGAAACATGTAGAAATTACAGTCTGTGGAAATCAACCGTACGACACAGACGCAGCAGGTAGAGACTAGGTTAAAAAAATACTGATATATTCTTTTAATACACCTGCACCATTAAGGGAAAGTCCACCAATTATCTAAATTTTATAGATAATTAAATAGTTGAGATGTAAGCAGAGCGGTTCAGAGCGGTTCAGAGCGGTTCAGAGTGGTTTGGTGTGAAACGCTCCGTTCTAGATAAACTTACCGAGTCAGAACTGTTCACAGTGGTGGTGATAGGAACCAGACGTCCACCTCTAAAAGCTCCCTCACAGAAAGTTCCTACATGAAATGGTTATGAATTCACTGCCTGATGACTGAGACACTGTTTTATGATAGTTTAGAGAACTTAAACTCCATTCATGGTGGAGGGATACATGCAGGGTGCTGTGAGGCAAAATAGTCCCCAAAGAAAACTTATTATTTCAGATTTTCCACTATTTTCCATCATCAACATTCCATATAAACTCAGAAGACTCGTGTAGGTTCACTGGTGGTTCTGGATAGTAAATAAAATGTCTATATTAGTGTTGTAGTCATGGCGACCCCTGGTTCCTATCACCACCACTGTAAAGACCTCTGAACCATTTCACACCAAACCACTCTGAATCACTCTGTTTACATCTCACACACTGAATCATGCAGAATGAAAATGGGTGGAGTTCCCCTTTAATGATGTTACTACTAACTGTACAAAGCTGTGGTGCTCCAGGGAGATTTAACAAATCAGGGTTTCACAGTCAGCCAGACAGCTTAAGCCAAAAGGCTGTCCAATAGGATGAGAGCTAAGAAGCATTCCTATTGGACGAGCCTCACTTCGACCTATTAAAGCGATAGTTTGGTGGAAAACCAAACTCACCTAGTTTTCATCCCAAATGTAGCTGATCAGTCAAAACATGTTTGGTGTCTGAAGTTTGCTTCTTTAGTTTTTGTACTGGAGCTACAAGGCTAACAAGTGATGGACGCTCATGGCCCACCAATTAGCATTATGCTAATTGAGGCTTTGAGTATCTCTAACAGTCTTGATTGTGTGGTTTCTGACACTGTATGACTCACTGTTATCTATAAACATGGACTAAATTAGATTTTTCCAAACTATCGCTTTAAAGTTAATATTAAAAACAGATCCCAATATTTTCTTTCCCATTTAACATTCTTACTGTTGAATATTAATTAGCGCTTCTTTTACTTAATGCTCCCTCTTTAAAGCAACCTCTAAATGATTAATGTAAAGAAAGGAAAATACTCAAGTTTTTTTATGCTCACTTGTGGAAAACTGCATAACTGCAAAGCATGCTCACAAAGAATAATAAAAGAATAACTTCATTACTACTGTAATTTGAATAGATTTGAATACAAACCCGTATTGACAGCTGGATATATATTAAAAAAATCAAACCTACCCCAGATGTAGTTGATCAGCAAAGGCGTTTTTGGTGCCCACAGTTTGTTTATTTAATGTAGCGCTGAAGCTATGAGGCTGACAAACACTAGAAGTCAATAGTCACCCAAATCTTTTCTGTAAATACATCCCTGAAGCATCTCTCAGCCTCGAACTGCATCCAGATCTACATTAAGGTGAAGATGTAGTTTAGAGCAGGAGTTCTCAGCCGTTTCCTGTGTATAAATACAAAGCATAGCGGCTCACTGGAAAAACTTAAATCAACTTTTAAAATAAAAATATTCTTTTTCTTACTTTTATGTGCAGAAACTGAAATCCTGAGAATCAGGGACTGAAAAAGATCAGACTGGTTTAATTAGTTATGCTAAAAAAAAACAAAACAAAAAAAAAAAAAAAAAAACATAACACTTAAAAAAAACAAAAAAAACAAAAAAAAAACACATGGTTGTGGTGATGGGGATTATAAATGTACGAGCTCAATGTGGACTGTGGTTTGGAGCCGCAGTCCATCATGTTTTCACTGAAAATAATCCATTTTGCCAGAAGAGTGGTTGTTTGGTCTCAGGACGTCTCTTCAGTTTTGAAGTCCACTCACTGGGCTTCTGGATTCAACTTACTGGCAGTCTGGCACCTTACGTTCAGGGCTCAAGTCTCAAGCCAGAAAAAAAGTAGATATTCTGGTCTTTTTGACAAAAAAAATATAATAACAGGTCTGACCCTTAATTTAAAAAAAATTTAAAAAAAAAAAAATCGCAATTAAAATCGCAGAAAAAAATTGCAATTAGATATTTTCCCCAAGTCATTCAGCCCTATTTCTGAGTTTATCATGGATATCATCAGTACTTAAAAATACTTCCCAACTGCATGCTGTGATGTATGTTGTAAAAATTCTTAAAATGCTGTAGTATAATTCTTTTTTGCCATATTGCCCATGTCTACTGTGTCCTATACCACATCTACATGTATGGACCACCTTAATGAAGACCTGGATGCAAGTTTTAACACAAACGATTTGGGTGACTATTGACTTCTAGTGTTTATTAGCAGTACTGACCTCCAGCACTTAACCAAAGAAGCTGAACTTGGACACCAAACACTCCTCTGCTGATCATCTACATGTGTAGTAAGTGGGGAAGTTTTTTGCTGAACTGTTCCTTTAAGCGCGTAATCAGTGTTAATAGATTAGTAGTTTTATTCTGAGTTTTACTCTGTGTACAGATACACAGTCGTCTATTAGCTGGTGTAAATGCGTACAGCTCTTGGTGGTTTTAAGACGTTTATAAATGAAAAAAGGAAATGCGTGTGCCGTCACTCAGGTGTTCCCTGCGCGGTAGCCGAGGTTGGCTGTATGTTTCGTACAGCAGGAGACTCGGCTCTGTAGTTTTAGCATGCAGTAAAGCAGTTTCTCTCCTCCGTGCGCCTCCTCTCACCCAGCCTGTGCAGGCAAACACGCACGGAGCCACAAACGCTCTAACAGTGGAGCCTGATACAGGCAGCCGACACCAGGGGGCAGCGCTTCCTCTTTCAAGCGAACTTCTTCTTGGTTGCCGTGAAGCGCTCCATGTACTGCAGAAAATAAGAAAAAAGCCATTAAAAGTAAATGACAGAAAAAAGGAAGAATAGGATTCAATATACAAATCACCTCCATAGATCAGTAAGTCATCATACAGGAGCAGCCAAACACCACGTTATGATGAGTTTTCCATATTTTCTACTATTATTATTAACAATCTGAAATTACAGAGACCAAAAACTTCCATTTACTTCATGCAACCATGAAAAATTTTAATCCTTGCTTAAAAAACTGCCGTGAATTATTACAGAATGACTGAACTGAGCTAAAATATTATTATATTATAGTATAAACACAACACATTTTTCACTTTAAATTAACTGGTTTAATGTTTACAAATGACCATAATTATGCTAAACTGATTTTATGTACACTCTTAAAAAAGATGGCTCTTTAAGGGTTCTGTTGCAAAGCAAAAGGTTCTATATAGAACCATGAACACTCGAAGAACCCTTTACAGGGTGAAACTGTCCTTCAGATTGATGGACAATGTGTTGCAGATGGTTCTATATAGAACACTCTTGAAAAGGATTCTGTATAGCACCAAAAAGGGTTCTTCTACTACAAGCTTGACATCATACACAACAGCAGAACCCTTTTTCGGTGCTATATAGAACCTTTTTCAAAGATGTTCTTCATAGAACCGTCTGCAACACATTCTCCATCGAGCTGAAGAGCAGTTTCCTCATGCAGAGAACCATTTAAGCATGCAAATGTACTTAACTATGGTTCTATAACCATTGTCTTTACTGAAAAACCCTTGAAGAACCATATCTTTTTAAGAGTGTACATCATAATTTCTCAACTACAAAATCTACTTTAAATACTTTTTGGATCCTAGATAACCTGAAAAAGGCACTTCTTTCAAACTGTTTACTCAATAAGGTCAGTTAATACTAAAAAAAATAGACATGCACATTGTAAACAAACAGTGAGAATGGACACAGAATATCATTAATAATTTATAATATTAACAATGTTCCAGAAAGGTTTGGCCGTAACAGCCGAGTATTATGTGGAGTGAGACGAATGAAGAGGCTCAGTTATTTTTAACTGCTCATGTGAGAGCAGCACTCTGGCTTGAGGAGTACACAGAATTACACTAATCCTGAGCTTCCTCCTCTTTATCCCGCTCACGTCCTGAAATCCCATCACAGTCCTGTCCAGATTTATCTTTGTTTTAAAAGTAAACACTGTGTTTATGTTCTGCCTAAACGGCCCACGTCAGGCGCTCAGCTCTCAGTGAATAAAACTGGTCGTTTAGTTTCTGCATGTTTCTCCAGAGCTCCACATCTATTAACCCCACAAGCATCACACTTTAAACAAAGTAGGACAGCAACTAATAATTATGTCTATAATCATTTTATCTGTTGACGATTCTTTGAAAAATCGACTAAATAATTCATTAACTGATACTGTTTAACACCATTCTGGTCTTTCAACAAGGTGCAGTGAAACGATAGAAGCCATATCGCCCCCTACACTTCCTGTAGTGTATTACAGTCTGTCAGAGTGACTGTGTGGATCATATGAACATTATAGAGGCTTTTTAAATGAAACAGTAGAAGCCATATCGCCCCCTACACTTCCTGTAGTGTATTACAGTCTGTCAGAATGACTGTGTGGATCATATAAACATTATAGAGGCTTTTTAAATGAAACAGTAGAAGCCATATCGCCCCCTACACTTCCTGTAGTGTATTACAGTCTGTCAGAGTGACTGTGTGGATCATATGAATATTATAGAGCTTTTTAAATGAAACCGTAGAAGCCATATCGCCCCCTACACTTCCTGTAGTGTATTGCAGTCTGAATATATATGAACACGTCACGCAGACTTTTTCCTCCATTAACGATATCGCTGATGACTAATCAACTTTGCTGAGTTATCACTGCAGCCCTAATGAAAAGCTTACATTACACTTCAGGACGCATGTCAGCACTAAAGAGTTCTACTCAGTTCTGGAAAGTTCATTCAGCCACTGCAGAGACATCAAAATAGCATCTTGCTGAGATTAGATCATCACCTGCTTTCAAAAAACGTGACAAACACAAAACTAGGTCGTTCTTTAACATCTGAGTAAAGATAAGGCCTACGCTCACATAGTCTGTGACACAGAAATGACATCTGGCATCAGAAAAACTGCATTTCAACACTTCCACTCTCTCTCACCTTATCGTATCCGTCTAGGTCCCGCAGCTTTTTCACCTCGAACAGGTTGCCCTCCAGAGAGAGCAGGGAGACGCTGGAGTTGGTGAGGATGGAGGTGGGGATGGAGGGAAGCTCCAGGCAGTTCTCTTCCAGCCTCAGCACCTTCAGTCTGGGACAGTGTGACACTTCTGGGGACAGAGCTGAAATCTGAACCACAATCACACCAACACAGCACAAAGTCACCCCGACATGTGCAACACAATCAAAACATCCAGAGACAGAAGGTCTGCTGACCTGCACTACATCTACCGGATGGGCTTGTGATACTGAAACCAGGTCTGCGTGAAGGACGCCTAACTGCTTTCACACTCTCGAAACTAGGGCTGCATGTACAGATGCAAATTTTGACAAATTCTGTTGATGGAAAACCGTCCGTCATTAGTCAACGGTTAATTTATAACCAGCAAGACTAAAATCAAAGATGTGATCCATCAAAATGTCAATTATAAAACTGAGTGTCACGGTTCTGTTTGAAAATAGTCGATACATGCACACAAACACTGATCAGGCATAAGATTCTGACCACCTCCTTGTTTCTACACTCATTGTCCATTTTATCAGCTCCACTTACTATATAGGTGCACTTTGTAGTTCTACAGTTACAGACTGTAGTCCATCTGTTTCTCTGATACTTTGTTAGCCCCCTTTTACCCTGTTCTTCAGTGGTCAGGACCCCCATGGACCCTCACAGAGCAGGTACTATTTGGGTGGTGGATCATCCTCAGCACTGCAGTAACACTGATGTGGTGGTGGTGTGTTAGAGTGTGTTGCGCTGGTACAAATGGATCAGACACAGCAGCACTGCTGGAGTTTTAAACACTGTGTCCACTCACTGTCCACTCTATTACCTTGTTGGTCCACCTTGTAGATGTAAAGTCAGAGAGAGCAGCTCATGTGTGTCATTATAGTTTGTGTTGGTCATCCTCTAGTCCTTCATCAGTGGTCACAGGACGCTGCCCACAGGACACTGTTGGCTGGATATTTTTGGTTGGTGGACTATTCTCAGTCCAGCAGTGACACTGAGGTGTTTAAAAACTCCAGCAGCACTGCTGTGTCTGATCCACTCAGACCAGCGCAACACACACTAACACACCACCACCACATCAGTGTTACTGCAGTGCTGAGAATGATCTACCACCCAAATAGTACCTGCTCTGTGAGGGTCCATGGGGGTCCTGACCACTGAAGAACAGGGTAACAAAGTATCAGAGAAACAGATGGACTACAGTCTGTAACTGTAGAACTACAAAGTGCAACCTAAATAGTAAGTGGAGCTGATAAAATGGACAGCGACCATGCAAGAACCCGGTTTGATTTTAAACATAAAATGTTCATAAGTATATGAACAAATACTGATAAAGTGACAAATATATAAATGATGGGCTACTGAAAGTTCTACAATCTAAAATTCTATATTTATATTTAATCAATCATTACTTTCCCAAGTTAAAACAAACATAAAAAATCCTTGAATGGACCTAATTTTGGCTCAGTGTTCTTAAGTAGCTCTCAAAAGCCTTATGATGCTTAAGTGACTGTGCTTCGATACTGTATATAAGTACTATTTTGGAAGGTGCGTACAATACTGGAACAGTACTGAGAGTGAATATTTCACTCAATTACATTTCTAGTCTGTCAGAATGACTGTGTGGATCATATGAACATTATAGAGCTTTTTAAATGAAACAGTAGAAGCCATATCGCCCCCTACACTTCCTGTAGTGTATTACAGTCTGTCAGAGTGACTGTGTGGATCATATGAACATTATAGAGCTTTTTAAATGAAACAGTAGAAGCCATATCGCCCCCTACACTTCCTGTAGTGTATTACAGTCTGTCAGAGTGACTGTGTGGATCATATGAACATTATAGAGCTTTTTAAATGAAACAGTAGAAGCCATATCGCCCCCTACACTTCCTGTAGTGTATTACAGCCTGTCAGAGTGACCGTGTGGATCATATGAACATTCTAGAGCTTTTTAAATGAAACAGTAGAAGCCATATCGCCCCCTACACTTCCTGTAGTGTATTATCATGGATCATATGAACATTATAGAGGCTTTTTAAATGAAAATTAGAATGTACGCTTTCAGGAAGCTTCCTTCCATAATCAATGCTATCAACAATTTTGTGGACTAATTATTGCAGTGCTACTTGAATCATCTGATGTACAACCATATGTATAAAAATGATCTATATTAGTACGAATAATGGCAGATAATTTTCCTGCATTGTTTATAGATTGTAAATTGACATACAAAAACATTTTGACTTGACCAAAGAAATTGACTGTCCAAAATAACCTGATTCTGGTTGAGGTTGATTTCGATCGCCTGCAGTTCAGCCACCTCTGCCGGCACGGCCTGAATTCGGTTCTTGGACAGGTCGAGGACATCCAGCTGGCGGAGAGAGCCGAGGCCGACGGGAAACTCCCTGAACTGGTTCCCGGAGAGGCTGAGGGTGCGCAGGGCTTTAAGCTGACCCACTGAGGCAGGCAGCTGCTGGAGCAAGTTTCCATTTAACATAAGAGTTTCCAGCTTCTTCAGTTTCCCGATGTCATTCGGCAGACTAGCTGTAAAACACAGGTTAAATAAAGTCTCATTTATTAATCCATTCAAATAAATAAGGAATTATTCTCATCTAAAAGGCCTTAACCCGTTTATATTCAATAACTTAGTTTAGCCTGATGAGAAAAAAGGTTCCAGAACTTGATATGATTGCATGTGATTCAATTTTAAATAGTTATGCGTTGGATAAACCTCTAACAGCACACACTTGAATTATTAGATTACATATCATGCTTCTGTTTGCAATCAAATTTGGATTTCATATTGTTTTTTCAAAAATCAGCAGTCCCACTTGACGAAAACATTAAATTTAATCATATTAATGCTAAAAAAACATTCATTTGAGCCATATGGTTCAACTAATTTGACAGGTTTCTTAAGATTTGTGACTTCAGAAAATATTTGGGCTAAAGGAAATTTAAAGCTGCACTACAAAAGATTTGGGGATTTGGAGACCTCTCTGGTGGAAATGTGTAACTGCACTTAACGTGACAGAAGACCATCAGCAGTAGCAGTAGCATCAACAAAATCTTACATGGTGCAGCTTTAACTTACATTAAAATGTTTGTGAAATCAAGATGTTCTTTTCTGACAGCTACGAGATCAACCATTACATTTATTCGGAGCAAAAAAGGTTTTGAAAAAACAGACAAAAAGGCGAAGGTGCAGGACTGTGTACTCATCGTTTTTAAGGTAGGAATGAAGTACTGATCCCAAAAAATACTGCAAATCATTTTAAGCAATCACTTTCAATCCAATCCAAACACTTTTGCATTCACATGTTTCCTCCGTTGAATTGCTGTATGTATTTGTGGTATCACTGTTTACAAATTATTGTCTTAGTTCTGGATCTGTGGTTCTTTTCCATACCTTGTTTCTTAGCTAACTGTTCGGACTGATCAGCTCTATGGCTGTATGATGTTTCTGAGTAGTGCATGCTGGGTAATGTAGTGAGAAAAGTGAGGAACAAAGACATGAGAATGACATATGAAATCATGATGAGTCTGTAATACAGCACAAATTACATTACACATTGTTTTAGACAGTAACGTATGGAGAGGAACTTGTGCCAGATTGAAAAGCCAAGCGACTGTTTTACATCTTTTATTTCTTTATTTATTTAATTATACTTTTTTAATTTATCCTTACTTTTATCTTATGTTTTATTAAGTTATTATATTGCCGTAATTTTAATGGTTTATTGATTTATTTATTTTTTAAAATGTATTATTACTTTTTAGCATTTGTTATGTTTTTAATATTTAACTTATCAACCCCTGATCTCTGCATTGGCTCGGCTACACTGTAGAGGAGGGTCTCCCTCTATGTACTCCGATTTTAAATAGAGGCTGATTGATTGATTGATTGAAAAGCAATCACTACACATTGTATTACTTTTCCATAGCGACATTCAAAATGTGTGCCTAAATGGAAAACTAACCCTCTTTTACACTGTTTTCACATCTCTTTGCTTCTTAACAGTAAAACAGAGCGTGCAATTTAAAAAAGAAAATGCTGAATTCATGTCAGAACTGAATAGAATATGCCACTGAAATGTAATAAAGGCTCTGTTATTTTGCTTTCCACTGTGCAGAACTTAAAACAACATTAAATCAGTGTAATGGATCTTTTACTCATCATTTTATGTTACCATTTAAATGCAATCTCATGTGTGCACTGCATTTCACTGTTTTAGATGCATTTAAATGAGGCAAATACATTTAAAGGACAAAAAAGAGGTGAAAACAGTGTAATAGAGGTTTTGTTTTTTTTCATTTTTGCATGTATTCTGAATGTCACCGTGGAAAAGTAAGGTCACGTGTGCATTGCACTTCACAGTTTTCACTGTTATGACTGAATTTCAGTGAGGACAATCTGTTTAAAGTGCTGCACAGTGGAAAGCAGTGTAGCCAGGCCTTCATTTTAAAGTGGATTGTATTCAATTCTGACACAAATTCAGCATTTCATGTTTAAAATGCAAATCATCATGCACTATTTCTCAGTTAAGAACTCATGCAACACAAAAACAATGTAATAGAGGTTTTGTTTTTCACTGTGGCTCATATTCTGCATGTCACTGATGGAACAGTAATGTCATGTGTGCACTGAATTTCACGTGTTTCCGCTGTAGTGACCGCTTTTCAATGTGGCATGGATTCCTCTCCATAGCAAAGCCCTTTTAATTCCATCTAGACAGGATCTACATACTTAGCTTGTTACTGTTTATGGTGAGGCTTTTTAGTTGCTGGAAGCTTCCTATGAACGCCGGCAGCACCTCTATTTTGTTGTTGGACAGGTCAACTGTCCGCAGGTTTCCAGTAAGCCTCTGTAGCTCCTCCGGGAACTGCAAGCAGGAGAGAGAAGACCAGGTTGTCCATAGTTCACAACAGCATCACATTTTCGTGAGAGACTGTGCTGCATTATTTACCTCCTGCAGGCCTTTTCCAGTCAGCTGAAAGACTCCAGTTTTCTGAGAAGTCTCTAAATGAGCTTTTAGAGCGCTGTTCCCCATTTACAGTATCTACAGTAGGGTCTATCACTGCAGCTGCACTCTCAACACTTACCCTGGAGAAGTAACAGTTACATTGCATTAGTTAGTTATATTATACAGTACACTGAAAATAAACCAAAGGAAACCAAGAACTTAAAGAAGGATTCCACCAGTTTTTCATAATTTCCTTCTGACAGTTGACAAAACTTGATTTAATACAGTTTAAAGTTGTTCTGGAGCAGTTTTTCTACCAAATGTGCATCATAAAATTCTTATGGACATTAAAGATGGAGTTTCAACATTTCGATCAATTTTTTTGCAGTAATTAAATAATTGAAAAGTAAACAAAGTCATTCATTTACAGTGGTGGTGATAGGAACCAGGGGTCACCATGACTACAACACAAACATAGACATTTTATTTACTATCCAGAACCACCAGTGAACCTACACGAGTCTTCTGAGTTTATATGGAATGTTGATGATGGAAAATAGTGGAAAATCTGAAAAGTTTTCTTTGGGGACTATTTTGCCTCACAACACCCTGCATATGTGTATCCCTCCACCATGAATGAAGTTTAAGGTCAAAATCCTATCAAAACTATCATAAAACAGTGTCTCAGTCATCAGGCAATGAATTCATAACCATTTCAGGGGAGCTTTTAGAGGTGGACGTCTGGTTCCTATCACCACCACTGTGAACAGTTCTGACTCGGTAAGTTTCTCTGGAACAGAGAGTTTCACACCAAACCACTCTGAACGACTCTGTTTACATCTCAACCACTTAATTAGGCAGACGTCTTGAAAATTTGTTGGAGTTCCCTTCAAGTTCTATTAGTTTGTTAGCCAGCTAGCTGGTTATGATTACGATAGCTTACACAACTTCACTGAGCTATTAGCAACTGTAACTCGAATATATTAACTGACAGAGATATTAATATACAGCTAATGGCTTAACTAACCTAGCTGTAATATAAAGAGCAGCTGAGACGCGGAGAAAACAAGAATAACAAACGACATTTAGCAGAAAACAACTGTTTTAGCACAGTTAGCCGGCTAAGCTAACTCAAAGTAGTCACAAAGCGCAGCTGTCAGTGGCTAAGCAACAAAAATACACATAGTAATTAAATTAAACATCACCTGCTGCCAAAACGAATCCGTTAATCCGCAGAATGGGCGTTTGTTCGAGTAATAAACCCGCAGTTTGCTGAAGCTGTTTACTAGCTGAGCTCTAAGAGCCGAATGTATGATGAGCGCTGGTGCTCCTCCTGAACAGCAGAGGGCGCAGAGCGCGGAGCGGCCAGCAAACAGCCGAACACCGCAAACACAGAGGCCGAGTCTGAAATGGCTCCCTACTCCCTAAGTAGTGCACTTAATGTCCAAGGCATCCATCTGGGATTCAGACATTTAGTGCACTGTTTCATACTAAACGCTAGGGGTGGGCAATATGATCATATTGTATCGTTATCGTGACAAATTTAAGCAGTAGAACACAGAGGGAGTGTGGTATCGCGGAATAACATCACGGCTGTGATTTGGTCGCCGTAGATCATCACAGCCGTGATGTTATTGGTGATAACACACTCCTCGAGTGTTCTATTGCTTTAATACAACAGTTAAATAAATAAAGTAATAAATTAATAAACTGGGCCGTGAACGCGGCGTTTAATATGTTTTAATGTTCGCAGTTCCTTCACCAAATTATAGTTCCTTAACGAGCAGCTCGTTGCTACGTCAGAGTAACGAGCTCCGCCCACTCGCTGCACAGCCGGCAGTTCGTTCTCCAGCTCCTCACACTAAATTCCCAAACTGTCATCACCACTGAGCAGCTTTTCAGTCGGCAGCTGTGACAGAAGAACAGCTAAACAACCTGGAATCAGCCAGAAATTAACCCAACACCATTCGCCAAACGTGTAGTCTGATCTTCAGAGTCTGACCAAATCAGACTGAGCCATAAAACTGCCGCAATATGAAGTTCAGCTCAGTTTTGTCATTTTTTGCCAGATCAGTATTAATGTTGTTTTGTTCCAGCCAGTCTGTAAAGCATCTTACAGCCCATTTAGTTTGGCGAATGGTGTTGGGTTCATTTCTGGCTGATTCCAGGTTGTTTAGCTGTTCTTCTGTCTCAGCTGCCGACTGAAAAGCTGCTCAGTGGTGATGACAGTTTGGGAATTTAGTGTCGTCTCATCTTCAGAGTCTGACCAAATCGGCTGTCGGTCAAATTTGATCCTAAAAGTGTCCGTTTTCTGTTTGTGGCAAAGAAAGAAGTAAAAACGTTTGAATGTCTTGAGAGTCTCCTACAGCTGTCAAAGTCGTTGCTTAGCGACAGTGTCTCAGTGGAGTGATGCAGTGTTTGTGAAACACCGTGATGTTATGGTGAAATAACAGCACAGTTAGAACGCTTCTCAACCAATCAGCTCGCGTGGCCAGAACTGACTGTTGTATGTCACAATACGCTTCTCTTAGCATATTGTGGATATCATCAGTACTTAAAGAACACTAACCCGCTGTGTGTTTCTATAGAAAGTGAGCTCAGTTAGGCCTGTTTAATTGTATTTGGTGCAGTGCTTTTTGTGAAACACTGAATAAAAGTCATTATTGTTATTATAGTACGTTTTATCCCTGCTGAAGAAGACCATTAGGATTAAATCTGTGCTTACTAATGGGAATTGGCTGAATGGTTACCATTACAGACCACTGCTTTAGTGCTGTAGGACACCTTTAAATTCCATTAGGAAACCATAAAATGCGTCTGCAATCAGCCCCACAGCATGACTTAAACCATTAGAGTCCTTTATACTGTGATATCAACCCACCAGAAACCAACAGAAACTTCCCAGATAGTGAGCATATATCGGTCCACTAGCTTTATAAGGTTGGCACCCCACTGACCGTTTGCCACTGCTGGTCCATCCTCAGACCACCCAGATTACTGTCCTGCAGACAAGCTCTAACTAGTTTTTAATCTTCTCAAACTCTATTACTCTGCTTAACAACCGGTGGACTGTCCAGAAAACGCTGAGCAAAATGCCAGTGGACCACCAGCTTTGCCATCAGTGGGCCGACAGTGGTCCACTATCCTCTTGCTATCAGGGTTTTAATGCTTTCTGTGATCTGTGACACTACAGGCTCAATTTTGTCTGTTCCAACTTATTTAATCTCAGAAAAACTGTTAAATATTGTGATGCCTATTGTGTATCCTGAAAAGTATCGAAGTATTGAAGCATGGTGATACAATATTTTTGCTATATCGACCACCCCTGGTTAAGGCCATACCTTTGTGACCTACGTAATGCACTACATAGGGAGTAGGGAGTCGCTTCAGATTTAGCCTGATAAGGTTTGTTGAATCGCTCTTAGAAAATTCACAGAGCAAAAGCCAAATTGGTTTTTAACACCATGAAAAGAGATTAGAAATAACATTTTGGAGACATACATACATCATACCACTACTGGTTTAATGTTTCAGTGCCAGAAAGCATAGTCTACCTATTATAGCATAAACTGAGTTGTACATTTTAGCAGCATTTCTATTACTCTTGTATTTTATATATAAGTTTGAGACTTTCAAAGGACAATAAAAGAGTCTGAAGGTCTACGATTGAGAGGCTTTATGGATATGAAACTTCCCCGTAAGACAAAGCATTTTAATTAAAATTAAAGAATTAAGATGAACAACTGTCTTTAAAACATGACAATACAGGACAGCTTTATACATCCAAAATATAAGATATTAAAATATTGGATTGTTTCATCATCAGTCCACGATCAACGTTAGAGAAACATAGAGGAAGTCAGAGAAAGTGGGACACAATGAAATACAGTTTCATAGTTTTAAAACTACTCTGAACAGCTGATAAAGGAGCATTAAAATCTGAATATCCAGCATTTACTGAGTTTAAGGAGACATCCCACAGAGTTCTTATGTAAACAGAGTCGTTCAGAGCAGTCTGGTGTGAAACGCTCCATTCTTTTCTCTCTCTCTCTCTCTCTCTCTCTCTCTTTCTCTCTTTTTTTTTATTAGCAACAAATATATAGTACAAGAGACAGACAAATAAGTTAAGACAAGACAAGCCACAAAAAAAAACGACAATAGACAGACAGTACATAAGGCAAATAAATAAAGCGAGACAAGCCAAACAAAAAGAGGTATAATAATAATAATAATAATAATAATAATAATGACAGACAGGCAGTATACAAAGTAAATAAAGTGGTAAATATATGTAAACACATCTACACACACACACATTCTACATCTTTTTTCATAAAATACAATAGTCTATCACATCAATAATAAGTAGGCAATGTTGCTTTGCTGTGCAGAAGAAAGGGAGAGTCAGGGTGCCCCCAAGGACCCCCACCAACCGTTTTCTGTCCCCTCCGTACTCATCGTCTGTCCCCCCGCCCCAGCCCCAACCTGCTTCCCAGCTCAGGCTGAACATCACATCAGAGCCACTTTCCGGGTCTTATTTAAGAGGCCACTTTGCACAGGATTCCTTTGTCCTGTGTTTGTCAGTGGAAGTCGCTGATTTTGCTCTCTCTGAGGAACGGGAGGGGGGCGGACGGTGGCGGTGGTGTTCCAGAAAGGCGGTAGGGCAGAGCAGACCAACAGGTCTGGAGGGGAAGCCCCCTAAGGACCCCGCAGCATCCCACACCCCTGCACAGCACCAAACACTGAAACGCTCTGTTCTAGAGAAACTTACCAAGTCAGAACTGTTCACAGTGGTGGTGATAGGAACCAGACGTCCACCTCTAAAAGCTCCCTCACAGAAAGTTCCTACATGAAATGGTTATGAATTAATTGCCTGATGACTGAGACACTGTTTTATGATAGTTTTGATAGGTCTAAAAATCCATTCATGGTGGAGGGATACATAATATGCAGGGCGCTGTGAGGCAAAATAGTCCCCAAAGAAAACTTATTATTTCAGATTTTCCACTATTTTCCATCATCAACATTCCATATAAACTCAGAAGACTCGTGTAGGTTCACTGGTGGTTCTGGATAGTAAATAAAATGTCTATATTTGTGTTGTAGTCATGGCGACCTCTGGTTCCTATCACCACCACTGTACATGAATAACTTTGTTTACCTTTTAACCATTTAATTATTGAAAGATTTTGAAAAAGTGTTCAAACTCCCTCTTTATTGTCCACTCAAAGAATTTTATCTACACATTTGGTAGAAAAAACTGCTCCAGAACAGCTTTAAATAGTATTAAATAAGTTTTATTATATATTTTAAAAGACATTTTGAACAGTTCCATCATGCTGATTGCGATGTTTCATGATGATTTGGCTCTGACACACGTGCAGCCCACGGCTACTTTCTGATAAGACGCTGTGAAGCACTTCCTGTCCTGTTTGTCCTGGTGCAGCACCATAATGTAGTGGTAGATGGGCACTGAGTTCAGCTCCGTCTGCATGTTGTTGTTGGGGTCAGTGCAGTACTGCGTTTCACACTCAGCCTCGAAGATGACCCCTGGGATGCGGTGGGAGCTGGTGTGTGGACTGCAGGGATCAGAAAACAGGGACCATTATATTATTTCATTAATATACTGTAATTCTACCAACATAACCAATGCATTGTACAGTATTCGCTAAAGGCCCAGTCACAGTAGCATTCGCCAGCTAACTTTCATCAGCAAAATTACATTCATTTCAATGAAATTCACCACGATGAGTGAGTTCGAGTCACAGACTTTAAATTTTGTGTGTGAAATTCCATGCCGAGTGAATCTGGACATAAACATTTGCGTCTTCCACCAACAGTCCTACTGATTTGACCTCTGAAAGGTTCATAGAATAAAAGAAAGGTTCCAAAATAGAAGAAATGCTAATTCAACCAGAGTCTAAACACAAACTTTTAGACATTTTATTCCCCACTGACTACAAATAAACACACAAAAGAGAGACTGTATGATATGCAGTCAGACAATATTATTATCTCTACTTTTTTGTTGTTTCAGACAAGTTAGCAAGCTTGCTTACTGCTGTGTTAGCTTCTTGGCTAACCGCAGCTGCACACAATTCACTGCAGTGCCGCCAACCATGCTAGTTATCCACACTTTACTGCTATTACTCAGTGTGCAGCTCCATGCTGTGGAGACTATATAATTATCAAAAGTAATTATGTGCACTTTTGTGTGGTTTCTTGTTCATAGCAACAAACTGGAAGATTTTATTCATTGCTGATCTCCTGAAACAGCCTCGGTCACCCCTGTTTCACAAACGGCAAATGTCTTTTCTGCTCTAGTGCAACTTGGGGATAAAATGGTTTCAATACAGTATCTAAAAATTAAAAAATAAGTGTATATAACTTAAAACTGATGGCCGATACGCCCCCTGTTCTCTTCAGAGCATCTTTCACTCAGCGTCATTCTACAGAAACGTCCAATTTTGTGTCCCTAGCATTTACAGACATATTACACTTCAAAAACATGTTAGGGTTACAATTTATTAATATTTTAAAATCAAACAATAAGTTATTTTAACAATTACACCTTCTTTAGCCATAAATTTAGCAATATTGGTTTTTAAATTAATTATCTAGCATTCCAAGCTACCACAGAAGAGCTCGTCCCCACAGTCATGTGTGAAGGCTGAGGCCATATTTAGAAGAAAAACATGTTTTTCTGCAGTTTTAACTACAATAATCTATACATGACTATGGAATATATAAATTAAATGACATAAAGAAAACAAATGCCAAATAAATATTATAAAATATATAAAGAAAGGTGTGGTCCCCAGGAGTTGTGTCACTGGTGTTACTGCGTAACAAAAAGTCTCTTATTTTGAAATAAAAGTCACACTGATGACATCACTTGACTTCCTTTTACCTGTTTTCTGAGGATCTATGAAGAAAAGCACATGGTGAGTCCACTGAGTCTTTCAGTTATCAGAGATTTTCTCATTTAGCTCATGATTTCATATGAAGCTTTTAGCTGAAGTCACTGGTGTGACCGACTTTATTCTGAGGTAATTGTGAAAAAACAGAATACAAATGGATTAAATTCCATATTTTAGTGGATTTTCCATTATTGACAACATGTGGTTTGATGCTCTGTAGCAGCCATTCTGTAAAATGCATTTTTCATTAAAAATGTCTCTGATGTTCCTTTATTATGTGGATCCAATGAGGATCAGTAACACCAGTGACCCCTATGGAGAGATAGAAGAGTGGACGTTTCTGTAGAATGATCCAAATACAAATGACGTGCTTCTATTAAATCTATGGGCTTTTAAAACACAGCAAAGGATCTGCTTTCTTTCTCTGTGTGGTGAGAGTATCTATGAAAGAGCACCAAACAGAGTTTAGTCATATTTACTAGTTAATAATCTGGTATATACAGCCTTCCAATGAGCGCAATAAACGCGGCACAAATGTGAGGAACGGGGGCTTCTGCATCCTGTCAGAGTAAAGTGGGTGGGGCTTATGCTACAGACTTTGATTGGTTGTGATTTCTGGCATTTATTTTAGGCTGAAAAAGTTCTATTTATCTGAATCTGATCTGTGTAGAATAGAATTATGGCTCTGAAAAGTAACAACATTTATAACAAAAAATGTCAATTTAAAAACATATCTAATCGTATCAAACCTGAAAACATGAGTATCACTACACCTCCAGTGCTCACTGTGTCACTGTTTACAGGATCCTCATATTGTTGACCTAACATGACCTACATGCTCAGACTGCTTTCACTTTATTTGGCAGCTTCACCTCAAATGACTTGAAAGTCAGCAGCATCACTGTGACTAAACAGAGTCACTAATTACAGCCAATAGACTAAAGACATTACTGTAAATGTACATTAAGTAAAGATACTACAGAATTGATATAAATAAGCATCATTATCTGAGTAGTAACCTCAGTCACTGGTAACGCTCACTCTTTCAAGCCTGGAAACATTTTCAAAGAGGAAGATAAACATTGATATATCGCTGTTGTTGGAACAGAACCTCGTATCTCCATTTTTCAGTTTTTGACATAATTTGAAAATGCCTGTTGGCCTTTATATTTTATGTAAATTTCATGATAAATGGATCAAAATAAACGGCCTAAAATTACTTGGAAAGACGTCTGGTTCCATTGACTTGCATTAAAAACAGAGTATGTTTTTTTGGCGATATGAGATTTTCTTCCGAGAGCAGCGACATATATCTTTATATCTTGATTTTTTTAGGTCTGACTCATTTCTCATGATTTTATTCCAGATGTTCTGTGTTCAGTAACTCACGTCCAGTTCCACGCGGAGAGCGAGCGGTTGTTGATGTTGCCGTTCCCCCCCAGCATCTCTGCCTCGGCCCCGTGTAAATTTTCTGGGATTTTCAGGCCAACATCGCAGATTTTCTTCTGTACGGCTTTAACGTCAGAGAGACTCAACATGAGGAGTCCAACACAGAAAACAACCTTCAGGAATAAACGTGAGAAGCTTAAAATATCAATGTAAATATAAACATACGATCAGCACAATTCATTTTCGTGTCAAAAGATTTGATTAAGGTCAATATAATCTGATCATTCTTAGACATAGAAGCCTCATTACAGCAATAAACACGGCATACGGCAGTTACATTTGTATTAAGTATCTAATAACTGCTTAATAGATCAATTACAGTACATTTCCCCTCATATTAAGAGATCATTGTCTATGTAGATTATACCAACCGCTGAGAGAACTGCAATTAGTATATGCAAATGGCTTTATTGTGCTCTGACTGTGCGTTAGGTCTATTATGTAAATGAGCTAGCTCTATATCCTCTCATGATATGTGGAGTTGAAATACCCACCGTTCGTCTGGAGCTGTGAAACATCGTATTAGCGTCTCGGTCGAGTTCCTAAACCGTCTAAAGCTGCTCACTCCTTGCTCTATTTATATACGAGTTGGAGTTGAATTGAGCACATTGATTTGATTGGCTGGAGATAACGTGACCTACCTCTGACCTGGATTACTTTATCAGATCAGTTGATAGGAATGGGGGAGTTTAGCTCCGTCCCCGATTACGCTTCTTTCCATTACTTAGAAAAGGAGGCGAAAGCTGCTGAAATAAGATCAGAAATGATGAACTTCGCTTTAAATCTATGTGAGGTTTAAAACGTGGTTAAAAAACCAAGCAGGCCCAATTCATTTTTAGGGTGGAGGGTGGAATTTGTGGCATCATTAAATCAGTGTGGCCTCTCGTCTCTACACAGAATGGAGGAAATGACCCACTGCATCCGCTCGCTAAACCTTCCCGCAGCCAACTGATTAATGCTTTAGACACTGAAGCATGTGTGCTTCGTTATTTTACACACTAATATCTAAAGAAAATGAGCTGATAGATTAATCAATTCAATCAATTCAGATTTAGATCACGTTTATACACCCTTCTGCCACAGATGGCGTGATGGACACTTTTTATTTTCCATTAGCAACTCTGCAACTGAGTGTAGGTTGAACCAATGTTGAACTAACAAAATGAACTGTTAAACCAAAATAAGCTAACAAAATGTACTGTTAAACCAAAATTAGCTAACAAAATGAACTGTTAATCCAAAATTAGCTAACAAAATGAACTGTTAACTAAAATAAGATAACAAAATGAAGTGTTCAACCAAAATTAGCTAACAAAATGAAGTGTTCAACCAAAATTAGCTAACAAAATGAAGTATTCAACCAAAATTAGCCAACAACAGGAACTGTTAACCCAAATAAGCTAACAAAATGAAGTGTTAAACCAAAATAAGCTAACAAAATGGACTGTTAAACCAAAATAAGCTAACAAAATGAACTGTTAACCCAAAATAAGCTAACAAAATGAACTGTTAACCAAAATAAGCTAACAAAATGTACTGTTAAACCAAAATAAGCTAACAAAATGAACTGTTAAACCAAAATTAGCTAACAAAATGAACTGTTAATCCAAAATTAGCTAACAAAATGAACTGTTAAACCAAAATAAGCCAACAAAAATGAACTGTTAAACCAAAATAAGCTAACAAAATGAACTGTTAAATCAAAATTAGCTAACAAAATGAACTGTTAAACCAAAATAAGCTAACAAAATGGACTGTTAAACCAAAATAAGCTAACAAAATGAACTGTTAACCCAAAATAAGCTAACAAAATGAACTGTTAACCAAAATAAGCTAACAAAATGTACTGTTAAACCAAAATAAGCTAACAAAATGAACTGTTAAACCAAAATTAGCTAACAAAATGAACTGTTAATCCAAAATTAGCTAACAAAATGAACTGTTAAACCAAAATAAGCCAACAAAAATGAACTGTTAAACCAAAATAAGCTAACAAAATGAACTGTTAAACCAAAATAAGCTAACAAAATGAACTGTTAAACCAAAATAAGCTAACAAAATGTACTGTTAAACCAAAATTAGCCAACAACAGGAACTGTTAAACCAAAATAAGCTAACAAAATGTACTGTTAAACCAAAATAAGCTAACAAAATGAACTGTTAAACCAAAATAAGCTAACAAAATGAAGTGTTAAACCAAAATTAGCTAACAAAATGAACTGTTAAACCAAAATAAGCTAACAAAATGAACTGTTAAACCAAAATTAGCTAACAAAATGAACTGTTAATCCAAAATTAGCTAACAAAATGAACTGTTAAACCAAAATAAGCCAACAAAAATGAACTGTTAAACCAAAATAAGCTAACAAAATGAACTGTTAAACCAAAATAAGCTAACAAAATGTACTGTTAAACCAAAATTAGCCAACAACAGGAACTGTTAACCCAAATAAGCTAACAAAATGAACTGTTAAACCAAAATAAGCTAACAAAATGGACTGTTAAATCAAAATTAGCTAACAAAATGAACTGTTAACCCAAATAAGCTAACAAAATGAACTGTTAACCAAAATAAGCTAACAAAATGAATTGTTAAACCAAAATAAGCTAACAAAATGTACTGTTAAACCAAAATAAGCTAACAAAATGAACTGTTAAACCAAAATAAGCTAACAAAATGAAGTGTTAAACCAAAATTAGCTAACAAAATGAAGTGTTCAACCAAAATTAGCTAACAAAATGAGGTATTCAACCAAAATTAGCCAACAACAGGAACTGTTAAACCAAAATAAGCTAACAAAATGAACTGTTAAACCAAAATAAGCTAACAAAATGAAGTGTTAAACCAAAATTAGCTAACAAAATGAACTGTTAAACCAAAATTAGCTAACAAAATGAACTGTTAATCCAAAATTAGCTAACAAAATGAACTGTTAACCAAAATAAGCTAACAAAATGAACTGTTAACCAAAATAAGCTAACAAAATGAACTGTTAACCAAAATAAGATAACAAAATGAACTGTTAAACCAAAATTAGCTAACAAAATGTACTGTTAAACCAAAATAAGCTAACAAAATGAACTGTTAAACCAAAATTAGCTAACAAAATGAAGTGTTCAACCAAAATTAGCTAACAAAATGAGGTATTCAACCAAAATTAGCCAACAACAGGAACTGTTAAACCAAAATAAGCTAACAAAATGAACTGTTAAACCAAAATTAGCTAACAAAATGAACTGTTAAACCAAAATAAGCTAACAAAATGAACTGTTAAACCAAAATTAGCTAACAAAATGAAGTGTTCAACCAAAATTAGCCAACAAAATGAACTGTTAAACCAAAATAAGCTAACAAAATGGACTGTTAAACCAAAATAAGATAACAAAATGAACTGTTAAACCAAAATAAGCTAACAAAATGAACTGTTAAACCAAAATTAGCTAACAAAATGTACTGTTCAACCAAAATTAGCCAACAAAATGAACTGTTAAACCAAAATAAGATAACAAAATGAACTGTTAATCCAAAATTAGCTAACAAAATGAACTGTTAAACCAAAATTAGCTAACAAAATGTACTGTTAAACCAAAATAAGCTAACAAAATGAACTGTTAAACCAAAATAAGCTAACAAAATGTACTGTTAAAAAAAAATAAGCTAACAAAATGAACTGTTAACCAAAATTAGCTAACAAAATGAACTGTTAAACCAAAATTAGCTAACAAAATGAACTGTTAATCCAAAATTAGCTAACAAAATGAACTGTTAAACCTAAATAAACTAACAAAATGGACTGTTAAACTAAAATTAACTAACAAAATGAACTGTTAAACCAAAATAAGCCAACAACAATGAACTGTTAAACCAAAATAAGCTAACAAAATGAACTGTTAAACCAAAATAAGCTAACAAAATGTACTGTTAAACCAAAATAAGATAACAAAATGAACTGTTAACCAAAATTAGCTAACAAAATGAACTGTTAAACCAAAATTAGCTATCCTACTGATTTGACCTCTGAAAGGTTCATAGAATAAAAGAAAGTTTCCAAAATAGAACAAAAGCTAATTTAACCAGAGTCTAAACACAAACTTTTAGACATTTTATTCCCCACTGACTACAAATAAACACAAGAAAGAGAGACTGTATGATATGCAGTCAGACAGGAGACTGTATTATTATCTCTACTGTTGGGCTTGACTGCATTATGTCTGTCTGAATTCTGTACACACAATACACACATATATGACTTACATATCTCTGCTGTTGGAACAAAACCTCCATTTTTCAGTTTTTGACATAATTTGAAAATACCCATTGCCCTTTACATTGTGTGTAAATTTCATGATGAATGGACTGACAGAAACGGCCCAAAATGACTTGGAAAAACGTTCCATTGACTTACATTAAAAGTAAAGTTCCTTCTCCTGTAAAGTCACCATTTTGGAGATACAAGGTTTTGTTCCGACAGCAGTGATATACAATTTATTACAGTGTATGTCTGTATATGCTGCTGAATCTCTACAGTATTATTTGCCCTCATAGCAAATCTTTTTGTTTTCATTTTATTAGTTTTCTCCCTCCTGTCTTGTCTTAATTCAGTTGCTGAGTCTCACATAGTAAAATATTATAGGCAAAATCCTTGGAAGTGTTGTTTTTTTGTGGGGGGATGGCAAGAAAAACATAATTCTGATTCTGATTACAATTCTGATTCCTGGTCTGATTCTAATTCCTGTTCTCATTCTTACTCTAATTCTGATTTCTATTCCAATTTTGGTTCCAGTTCTGATTCGGATTCCACTTCTGACTCCTATTTTAATTCCTGTTCTGACTCCAATTCTGATTCCGATTCTAATTCCTGTTCCAATTCTAATTTCAATTCTGATTCTTTTAGCCATGTTCATTCTGAATCCAATTCTAATTTTAAATCTCATTCTGATTCTAATTCTGATTCCAATTCTGATTCTAGTTAGTTTTCTGAGTCTGATTTCAAATCTGAATGCAGTTGTAATTATGAATCCTACTCTGGTTCTAATTTCTGTTCTGATTCTGATCCTGAGTCCAATTCTGTTCCCTATTCTGTTTCTGATTCCAAATCTTATTCTTATTCCAATTCTGACTCCTATGTTAATTCCTGTTCTGAGTCCAACTCTGATTACGATTCTGATTCCAATTTTGATTCTGATAACAATTCTCATTCTGATTCCAATTCTAATTTCAAGTCTCATTCTGATTCTAATTCTGATTCCACTTCTGGTTCTGTTTAGTTTTCTGAGTCTGTTTTCCCATCTGAATACAGTTGTAATCATGAGTCCTATTCTGGTTCTTATTTCTGTTCTGATTCTGAGTCCAATTCTGTTTCCGATTCCAAATCTCATTCAGATTCTTATTCTTATTCCTATTCTCATTCCAATACTGATCATGATTCCAATTCTAATTCTTATTCTGGGTCTGATTTTAAGGGTAAATATATGCTCTTTTTAAAACATTTGTGTAGTTTTATTTCACAGAATAGTTATAGATCATACTAAAATCAA